CCACAGGGACCTCTTTGGCACTGGACGTTTGGTGAGGGCTGCAGAGCTGAGCCTGGGCTCTGCTGCCTGCCCCCCTGTGGCCCAGAGCCCTGCTGGGGCCACCACGGTGACCTTCCTGGCTGGGCTGCACCAGTGTGGCAGCACCCTCAGGGTAAGGCTGGGGGTTGGAGGGGCTTCTGCCTTGGGGAGGTGAGGTTGGAGGGGGCTGGAGGGCAGGTGGAGGAGCTCCGAAGCCTTTCCTAGAGGTTGAACATCTCCATCTGCTTTCCAGAAGATGTGCTGGCTGGTCCAGGGGCTCCATCTGGGGCTGGGTGAGCAGGGGAGGGTGTGGAAGGGGCAGAGAAGGGGTCTCTTCCTGCTGGAGAGAGGAACCTCAACCTGCCTGGGCTGTTCCTGCTGGTGGTGTCACCTCCAGGGTGGAGCCCAGTGACCTGGAGCCAGCAGTACCACCTTAGGAGACACTTGGATGCTGCTGGAGCAGCCTGAGGCTCCTCTGAAGCCACCTGAAATTGGAAGTGGTCTCTCTCTCTCTCCCCTGGGAGAGGCTTTGGGCCACCAGGGTGAGCAGACACCTTCATCAACCCCCCACCAGAGCAGAAGTCACCCTCTGATCCCCTGGGGGCCAGACCTTCCTGGCTGCTCCTCGTGCAAACGAGAAGAAAAACCAAGGACCAGGTGGAGCAACCTCTGCATCCAGCCATGGATGGGCAGGCTGGATCTTTCTGCCTGCATCTCTGAGGCTCCTGGGCTAGGCTTGGAGCAGCTCCTGAGGCTGGAGCATCCCTGCAGCAGGACCAGGAGCTCCAGTATGACCTCCTGGTGGCCAGGAGGAACATCTCAGCACAGAGCCTCCAGCTTCAAACGTGCTGCTGGGGGTGTGTGTGTTTGTGGGAAGCTTTGAAGGACCTGATGATGAGTTTTGACCCTTCTCCAGGTGACCCCTGATGCTCTGGTCTACAGCACAAGCCTCAACTACAAACCAGTTCCTACTGGGAACCCTCTCATTGTCCGCAGCAGCTCGGCCACCATCCCCATCCAGTGTCACTACCCCAGGTGAGCCCAAGAAGCAGGTGAGGACCAAGCCAACCCCTCGTGCTGCTACAACTTGGCATTAAACCACGGGCATCTCCTCCCCAGGAGACACAACGTGAGCAGCAACGGGGTCAAGCCCACCTGGGCACCTTTCCACTCCACCCTGTCCAAGGAGGAGAAGTTGCCCTTCTCCCTGCGCCTGATGAACGGTGGGTGTTGGGTGAGGGGTCTCCAGGGCTTCCCAGGAGGGTGGGATCACTGGTCTGAGCCCCCTCGTGCCCACTGGGGCTTCCTCAGGTGGAGCCCAAGCTGGTTTCCCAGCCGTGAGTGGTGACCTGTCCCCTCCCAGGTGACTGGAGTGCTGAGAGGGTCTCCACGGTGTTCCAGCTGGGAGAGGTTCTCCACTTCCAAGCTGCTGTCAGCACGGAGAACCACGTGCCCCTGAGGCTCTTCGTGGACAACTGTGTGGCCACCCCCACCCTGGGCAGGAGCTCTTCTCCCCAGTATGCTTTCATTGACTTCAGTGGGTAAGAGCTGGTGGGCTTCTGGTCTGGAGACCCTTCCCTGCTGGGGGTGGCTCCCCCTGGCCCTCACTCTCGTGCTCAGGTGCCTGGTGGATGGGCAGCTGGATGATGCCACCTCGACTTTCATCTCCCCAAGACCCAGCCCAGGTGTCCTACAGTTTGCAGTAGATGCCTTCCAGTTTGCAGGAGTCTCCAGCCACCTGGTAAGTCCTCCCTGAAGCAAGTGGAGCCCCTCTGCCAGGAGAAGACCTTCCTTGGAGAGCAGTTTTGATGATGCTGGTCAAGACCCTTCTGCTGGGCTTCCATGGCTGAACCTTCTAAGTGGAGGGTGCAGGATGGGGTTTGAGCTGCCCTGGGGAGATGGTGGCTCCATTGGTGCCCAACTTCATGGAGCATGGGAAGGTCATGGAGGCAAATGGCAGACTAAGCCCTCTGGTCTCCTCAGATCTACATCACCTGCCACCTGAAGGTCTCCCTGGCTGATCAAGCTCCTGACCCCCTGAACAAGGCTTGTTCCTTCAACAAAGCCAGCAGCCTGTGAGTAGCTTGCCCAAAGGTGAAGAGCTTTGGGCTTCTCATCTGCTGTGTCACCTTCCAGGAAGGTGGGATGGACCTTCTGGGTTGGGAGGGGGTTTCTGCCTCTCCTAGGAGACCCCAAAGCACCACAGGGTGGGCTGCTCACCAGGCTCTCTTCTAGGTGGGCTCCTGTGGAAGGCACCAGAGATGTCTGCTCCTGCTGTGAGAGGAGGAGCTGTGGCTTGGCTGGGAGCTCCAGGAGGCTCCAAGCTCCCTCCAGATGGCAAGGAGGACGTGCCAGGAGAGAACTTCCCCCTCAGCCTGGTAGGTCTCTGGGTGCCTCTTGTCACCCAGAAGCTCAGAGCTGGGTGGCTGGAGCTGCCTCAGGGCTAATCCACGGCTTGGGAGAGCTGGGTGTGCCAAGGGGTTGGGGTTCCTCCCTTTTCAGATCACTTGGTGGAAGAAGCAGATGTGGTGGTGGGACCTCTTTTCATCCACAGCTGGCAGGACCACCTGGTTCAGAAGACACCTGCCCAAGGTAGGGCTAAACCTGGGGTGTAGGGGTGGTGTGGGGGGCAGGTCCTGCCTCTGGTCACAACTTCCCCCTTGCTTCTCCTTCCTAGGGGCAGGAGACTCGTGGATGGTTCTGGGGCCGGTTGTGGTTGCTGGTTTGGTCCTCCTGGTCCTTGCTGTTCTAGGAGCTCTGGCTGTCTGCTGGAAACCCACCAACCCAGTTCAGGTCACTGGTTTCACCTTTTTCTGCTCTGTCCAATAAAAATGAATGACCTGAAGGACTGTGAGAGCCTTGGTGGGGAGTGGAGAAGACTTTTCCTGGGGGGCCTGAGCCAACCAAACCTTCACCTTAACTTCAACCAGGCCTCTTGGCACCTGATTTAGGTGTCATGTCCTGGAGTCCTCTCCTCAGCAGACCTTGCTGGAGACTGACACCCTGAGGAACATCTCCCAGAGCACCTCCCTGGGAGCTGATGCCTCCCCCTCCCCCTAAAAATCCCCACCCAGACCGTGTCTTCAGAAGCAGGGAGTTGTGGTGACCCCTAAACCAGCAGCTGGTTCCATGGAGCTCCTTGGGCTGCTCCTCACTCAAGAAGCCAAGGGGAGATCAAAGGGTTTAGGAATAACTGGACCCCTGTCCCTTGTCCCTGGGGTCCCCCCCCATCCTGGAGACACCCCCCCCCCCCCCTGGGGACCCCCCATCTCTCCCTGGGACCCCTCTCTCCCAAGTCCCTTCTCCCTGGGTCCCCCCCCATCCTTAGGTCCCTCTCTCCCCGGGGACCCCCCCTCTCCTTGGGTCCCTTGTCCCCAGGGGTCCCCCTCTCTCCCTGTGACCCCCTCTCTCCCTGTGACCCCCCTCTGTCCCTGGGTCCCTTCTCCCTGAGGACCCCTCCTCTCTCCTGGGTCCCCCCTCTGTCCCTGGGTCCCTTCTCCCTGGGGACCCCCTCTCTCTCAGGTCCCTTCTCCCTGGGCCCCCCTCTCTCCTTCTCCCCTTCAGCTGCTTTTGGGGAGCAAAATGGAGCTTTGCTGCTGGAGCGTGACCTGGGGGGTGGGTGGGTTGGACTTTTTTCCTGGCCCAGAAGAATTCCAGTCCCTGCTCCAAGGACTGTTTACACATAGTTGTGTGCAACGAGCCTTGGCTGAAACGTATCAACAGACCTTGGGGCCAGGGACTGGAATTTCTGACCCTACTTCCCTTCACCCCCTTCCCCAAAAGGTCCTTTCTGAGGTTCCCCAGCCACGTTGGAGGTTTTGGTTTCCCTCTCCCTGCTGGGAAAGGTGGGATCTGCTGCTGGGTTGGTGAGATGTTCCTGCCCCAAACCCAAGACCTGTTGCTTCCCCAGGAGCTGGGGAGAGGTTCCCACTCTGGCCAGTGGTGGGAAGTGGGCACCTCGTGCTGTGGTGGCTTCAGGGGGAGCTTGGCCACCCCAGGGGCTGGTTTTGCAGGGGACAAGGGGGCTGCTCCAACCTCTTGTTCTGGGGGGTCCTCTTAGTTTTGGGCTCTTTGGTAGATGTCCCCTGGGATCTCCTTGGCACAAGGAGCTTAGCTGGAGCTTGGATCACCTAAACCACCCTTTCCTTGGCTGTTCCAGGGCTTGAAGCAAATGGATTCTCCTTTAAAATTCCAACTTTGGGTCTGGGATGGATCTGGGAGTTGTCAGTTGGGTCTCTTGGTTTCCTCATCCAGACAACAGGACCCTTGGGGGTCTGGTGCTGGTCTTGCAGCAAGGTGGGAGCTTTGGAAGTGCTGGGAGATGCCCTCAATATCCCCTTAGAGGGGCAGGAGGAAGAGGGCATGGGAACAGGGGTGCAAGGGGTCTCAGAAGGTCTCCAGACCAACACCAGCTGTACCAGGCTGGAGGTCTCCATGGCTGGAGATGATCTACCTCTGTGTGCCCAGCCCTGGGCTGCACAGCCCTCCTGGAGGAGCAGGAACAGAGCTCCTCACCTGAACCTCCCAGCTGTGGCTTCAAGTTCCAGGTAACTGATTCCTTGCTGGAATCAAGGTCTTCTCCAGGTAGACACTGCCCTGGCCACACGTGGTCTTGGCAGGGACTGTCCCTGCTTTGTTGAGGCACCCAGAGGAGACCTTTAAAGACAAACCCCTCTCTGTCCCTGCAGCCCAAACCCCTCAGCTGGAGCCAGGGGAGAAGACAAATACGGACCAAATCTAGTCTACAAAGAAACTGGGGATGGGAAAAAGAAGCTCTCTGGGCTTCTGGGGCAACCAGCTCCCTGGCCCCTTGCAGCAGCTCCCTGGCCCCTTGCAGCAGCTCCCTGGCCCCTTGCAGCAGCTCCCTGGCCCCTTCCAGGCTCTGGTGGGACTCAACAGCTTCTGTTTCAGGGGTGGTTTTGGAACTCAAGCTTTGTTGTAAGCAAGGATGAGATGGGCTTCAGAGCCTCCTTGGTGGCTTCACAGCCTCTTGGGTGCAAGAGGGGAAACCCCTGGGGCTGGTGCTTGTCCAGTGCCCTGGGACTTTCTCCCTCCTTCAACACAAATGATCTCACACTCCCAACATCACGTTGAGCCAGCTGGTTGTGGCAGAAGCTAAACTGGGAGCAGAAATCCCCTCCTTCATGGAGATTTAACCTCCTTTTTCTCCTAGCCTGGGTCTGTTCCTTCTCCTGGGATCCCCCTGCAGAAGGTGACCCACCAGAAGGATGGATTTATTTGTGCTTTTTATTCTTTCTATTTATTCTTTTATATCTATTTATTATTTTGATTGACCAGGCTCAAGCTCTGGTGCCCAGAGACCCCCACAAGAAGAGTGGTGGGATGGGGTGGGGTGAGCAGAGACATCACCCTGGTCCTTGCAGCCAAGGTCCTGGCCAAGCAGTGATGTCCCATTATCTCCCTGCTGCAACCCCTGCCATTCCTGCCCAAGTGCAGCTCTCAGGGAATCTTAAACACCAAGTTCTGGACCTCCTGAGAGCAGCAGGGATGGGACATCAGGTCCCAGGGCTCAAAGTAGAAGGTTTTTCCATTGGTCAGCTTCACATGGGTGGGTTTTTGGGGGTGTTGGGTCAAGCACGAGGTGGTTCCACCTCTGAATCCTGGTGGGATTCTCTGCTGGGAGGGGGTTGGTCAACATCTTGAAGCGGCTCCTGGCCCCCTTGCAGCAGCTCCCTGGCCCCTTGCAGCAGCTCCCTGGCCCCTTGCAGCAGCTCCCTGGCCCCTTGCAGCAGCTCCCTGGCCCCTTGCAGCAGCTCCCTGGCCCCTTGCAGCAGCTCCCTGGCCCCTTGCAGCAGCTCCCTGGCCCCTTGCAGCAGCTCCCTGGCCCCTTGCAGCAGCTCCCTGGCCCCTTGCAGCAGCTCCCTGGCCCCTTGCAGCAGCTCCCTGGCCCCTTGCAGCAGCTCCCTGGCCCCTTGCAGCAGCTCCCTGGCCCCTTGCAGCAGCTCCCTGGCCCCTTGCAGCAGCTCCCTGGCCCCTTGCAGCAGCTCCCTGGCCCCTTGCAGCAGCTCCCTGGCCCCTTGCAGCAGCTCCCTGGCCCCTTGCAGCAGCTCCCTGGCCCCTTGCAGCAGCTCCCTGGCCCCTTCCAGGCTCTGGTGGGACTCAACAGCTTCTGTTTCAGGGGTGGTTTTGGAACTCAAGCTTTGTTGTAAGCAAGGATGAGATGGGCTTCAGAGCCTCCTTGGTGGCTTCACAGCCTCTTGGGTGCAAGAGGGGAAACCCCTGGGGCTGGTGCTTGTCCAGTGCCCTGGGACTTTCTCCCTCCTTCAACACAAATGATCTCACACTCCCAACATCACGTTGAGCCAGCTGGTTGTGGCAGAAGCTAAACTGGGAGCAGAAATCCCCTCCTTCATGGAGTTTTAACCTCCTTTTTCTCCTAGCCTGGGTCTGTTCCTTCTCCTGGGATCCCCCTGCAGAAGGTGACCCACCAGAAGGATGGATTTATTTGTGCTTTTTATTCTTTCTATTTATTCTTTTATATCTATTTATTATTTTGATTGACCAGGCTCAAGCTCTGGTGCCCAGAGACCCCCACAAGAAGAGTGGTGGGATGGGGTGGGGTGAGCAGAGACATCACCCTGGTCCTTGCAGCCAAGGTCCTGGCCAAGCAGTGATGTCCCATTATC